CCACAAACGCCACAACTGTTTTACACTCCACAAAAGGGCACCATGTCAATAAACTATGCTTTGGAAAGAGGCAGTGGCTGAATTTAGGAAAGAGTGGAATTCCCCATCAACCCCTTCATGGTCAAGGGTATGTTCTACCTTTGTGACCAGAAAGATTCCACTCCGAAAGCTTTAAAGTGTTACTCTGTCCTTGGTGCAGTTACACTTCTTATATTCCTCCCTGCCCCCAGCTCCCCTTCCAGAGATTTACTCTTCTGTCCATGAACAGTAAGTTATTATTGACTACATGGAAAATAGGCTAGTCAAAATATCCCTGGTCAGGCTCTTATTCATTCCTTTGAAGCTTCAGAGTATGAGCCTTTGTGGACTAATTCTTTATAGAAATGAATGACAATACAGAGTGCATGCATGGGCCTAGCTGTGAAGATTGAGCTAGTATAAGACTGGTAAGGGGGTGCTTGGAGCAAGGGGAGGTATGACACAAGTGTACAAAGTTACACTTTAAGGCCCTTTTTACATAGGCAATGGACTTTACCGCCCCACGGAAAAGCAATCAATGGTGGATTGCTTTTCAGAGGCGTTTGAGTAATGGTTTACAGGCATTCAAGAGGCCATACTGCTGCCTCCCAAAAGCCTTTTTCCCCCCAATCCAGAGGGGAATTTTTCACTGAAATACCACGCCACAACTGTGTCTGGCTTATGGCTGTGGCTAGTCCCATTAACTTTAATGGGTACGTTTAGCAAGTGGCTCCAAGTGCCAAACACAACATGCCGCATTTAAATTAGTCACACAGTGAAGCATTGCAACTACTGCAATGTGAACGGACCTAAGCGGCTGCCATGTTAATCTGTATGTAGGCGATCAGGTGGCAGTAAAAACACAGATCAACTGCCTGTTTTTAGTGCCCCTTTGCCCACAGTCAATTTTTTTGTTTGTTTTTATCTTAGATGACTACACTAATGCATGGACACAGAGTAGCAGTCCATTTCTCTCTCTCTCTCTCTCTCCACTCCCTGACAATAAAGCTGGCAACACATGGATCAAAATTCAGTTGGTTCAGCAGAGACCAGCCAACCTTCAATCCATGTATGGGCAAGCTGGTTGTACCGAAGTCAATATACCAATCGACATCGGTACAACCAGACTGAAGGATTTTGCCTGCTTCATCAACGCCACCAGCCCTGATCAGTGTATTCTGATGGCTGGTAATTCTCCCCGCTGTCAAAGGCTCAGTGGGAGTGATTCCTCCATCCACATCAAATGTGTGGATGGGGCAACCAAGTCATTTTTTTTCTGTTCAACGTACAGGTTAAACAAAAAAAAAAAAAATCTAATCTATGGGCTCCTTTAAGGGCAAAAGGAGAAAGACTTCCCACAATGCAGTGCTTTTGTGAACACTGCCTTTTCAATTTATCACTGTCTAATGACAGCAATGTTCAGAGCTGGGAGTCCACATGTGAGTCCCTGCGCCTTCATCGTGACCATCACTGTTGTCAGTAGTCGGGTCACAGGAAGTATACAGTGCACACTTTGCGCACTGTACAGCACATGTTCCTGCAGGTGTATGTACCCCCTATGGGCATACACACACCTGTGAACATGAATATGTACATTTAAAAAAACAAAAAAAAAAAAACACATTTGCCAGCATAGATCTATGCCCAGTGCGAGAATGCACAGAAAATTAGAGCATATATCTATGCTGCATAGTCATTATGGTGTTAATTAATTATACAAATACAAACACCTAAAAGAATTCTTTCATGAGAGCAAGATGGAGATTACTATTGCTGGCCTCTCTTTTTGGAAATGCTAGTTGCCTGGCTGTCATGCAGAACCTCTCGCGTCAATACTTATAAATATGAAATGAATATACAGATACGTGTTTCCGACTTTCCTGACCTGAATGCTTGCTCCAGTCATTGACTTAAAAATGAATTAAACTGCGTTTTTGGTTTGTGGTGCTCAGATGCAGAGTAGTCCTGCTTTAATACTAAAAGCAAGCTCACCCAACCATCCATGTCTCCATGCTTTATTTTGCTGAGAAATCACATTCAAAAACACCTCCTAACATTTCTGGCCACAACCATCTTGAGTAAGGGCAGATGATTCATGCAGCATTTACTTTCTGGAATCCATCTGCCCTTAGCTATGTCATGCGGGCAGGAGGGTTGTGCTTAGCTGCGAAAACCCCTCCCCCCTCTTGAAGACTCCTGGGCTGTATGACATAATTTGCCTTGGCACGGAAGCCAAGAAGTAATTAAAGAAATGTAAAGAAAAGTTTAAAACAAGTAAATATAATCCACTTTCCTATCTATTTACCAATGCTAGCAGCATAAGGATTAAAAATAGTCAGTGTTGACAGAGGGTGAAGTTCCGCTTTAAAAGTATTACGATCAGGTGGCCAGTATAACAGCCTGGCACTAGCATTTCTGAAAAAAATGGGGCAATTGCAGCCCCCATATTTCTCTAATGATAGGTTTACAGGGAAATCTGTGGTGAAAAAACACAGAGACTGCTACTGCCACTGATCCAATGGCTTCAATAAGTCACTGACTCAGAACAAGTATGTAGATCAGAATTTCTGACTTTTCAGATTTGTATGCTTGTTTCAGGTCAGTGGCTGGCATTTTGCATTTTCTGCAGGTGGTCAGCAATGACAGTCTCCTTGTTTCTCTCCATGCAGGTTTCCCTTAAGCAGGAGATGGTACGGGTTCCAGTTAGAAGTTTTCATTCACTTTAAACTATGCAAATACTACAAAAGGCAAGCTATGCAATCGGTTTCTATAGTTCCTAAGCAGGTAACACAAAATGTACACAAACTGGAGAAGCATCCAATAAGCAATACAAGGCTGCATTTGTAAGACATCTTAGGCACAGTTTCAAATCAATATTAAGTTGCAGGTATGAATGTCATACCCCAAACCGCCTTACATACATTACACATATTACTGAACAGCCTACAGATGGGTGTAGTACACACTAATGTGTTCTGTAAATCTGAGGCAACACCCACTAAAATAAAAGTGAACAGCCACAAATTGAACAAAACCAACAAGAGGGAAACAAAGAGAACTTGATTCGGCTGTCACCAGCTTTTAGCTGTTCTTGTAAAAGTAGCCTGCTGTAGTCTTAGTCAAAACAGTGGCTCAGCCACCAACACATTCTGCTCCTTAGCTTCTCTTGATGCTGTAACCTATGGAAGTAACGGATATATCCCCGTCCATTTTACTAAACCAGAATCAAGCAGCTAGGAGCCTTAAAAATAGACATGCTTTTAAAAACCTTTAACATGACCCTAAGAATAATTGAGGAACAAAAATGATACACAATGGCTGCCACAGTTACATGCAAGAAAACTCAATAGAAGGGTCTTAGCCTAAACCAAGATGCAAAGCAAATGCGCTCCCTTTAAATGTGCTACAACTCACAGTCTGTGCTCAGAATGTATAGAAAACAGCAGGATTCTGAATTATTGTTGTAGAAGTCAGAGGTTTAAAGAAATTCACATTAAAGCTCAGCTTAGAAATGTATCAGAGGCAACAGTGATATCCATTGTGAGTTCTCTACACAGCATAGTTTTTGCATTAACTAGTTTGGCATGCTTTTTCGGGTTGGTTTCCACTTACGCAGCACTGTTGTTAAGGAACCTTGTGAAGACCACGCACTGACTGTAGCCTAAAGTAGATGTAAACCCCAACTGTATAACAACAGTTTGCTAAAGCTCTGTATCTTTTTTAGCAAGTGTCATTTTCACCTTTTGTTCCATCTCCTGCAGCCACTTCCAGACTAATTTGAGTTTCCGGATTGTGACAACAGTGGTCCTTGCTTGTGTAATAAGTGTTAAAACAGAAGTCTGTGTCGGGAGCCAGAGTGACAGTGCAGGAGACAGGGGCAGAGCATTATGGTCCTATAACAGGAAGTACCTGGACAAGGACCCTCATGGTAGGATCACCAGGTATTTTAAAGAAAGCTACAGATTTTAAATGACAAATTACATTACCATGTGAAAGCATGTATAAGAGGGTTTACATCTACTTTACCTTAGGCCTAACTTGGGAAATTTCTATGGTCTGCTCATATTCAGGTGATCAGCACCACAGACCACACAGTGCAGACTTGTTTTCAGTGCAATCTGAAATCCCAAACAAATGAATTTGTTCATATATGATAAGACTTTGTTTGGGTTGTATGTGGCAGTGCAGTCAGACAGAGCTTCCATATAGCGTCTGCAATGCATAGGAGGAAAAGGACCCTAAGGTACACACACTAAAAGGTTCTGCATTAAAAGACAAAATTCAACAGAGGTACAGTTAAACCAACATTTCAAAGCTGATTTAGAGAGATTTCAAACTTGAATGGGTTCTCCTATTCTGCAGTGCATATTACACAAAGCAGAGAAAACAAATGACTCTTCCCCCCACAAGGTTCAAGTCACTTGCAACAATGGGGGGGGGGGGGGGGGGGGGAATTATTAAAATGTGTCCGAAGCAAACACTGGAACGCAGATAATCAGCTTTGATATTTTAATTTTCTAGGCTGTCTGGTAAAAGATGGAACCTAGAATTTGACTGGTTGCTATCATCACCAGCTGAGTTAGAACTTAATTCAGACACTTTTTATTAATTCCCCCTATTGTGTTCATATTACATTCAGGCAACAAGTCATATATGTTAGGGTGAAGACGAGACATACTACAGCTAAACAATGCCCACTGAATACAGATGGTGGGAAAGTTAAACACTGAACAAGTTTTCGTGTGTAAAAAATTGCTATTGCAAAAAACAGTGCAAGAAGAAGGAAAAATACCCCCCTCCACCAGTCACTCACAATCACAAATAATGAACAGAACCAAGCTGTAAGTCCTGTCCATAGGACAGAGCTTTTCCAAACCACCAGGAAATCCCTGCATGTCCATAAAAACACCTGAGGAAGGTAAGGCTTGAATAAAACTCATTCTCAGCTGTGACACATGAAGCCCTCTGCAGCTGCTGGTGTGTTAGAGATCCAAGGATTTCATGATGGCATCCCTGTCAAATCGGAAGCCCAGGAAGGCTCTGGAAGAGAAGGGGTACTGTGCTGTCCCATTACAAGCTTCGTCTCCATTGAGGTCACACTGACGTCCTTCAGATGGATATACCATACCGAATGCAGAGTCTGCCAAACAATCACAAGATAATAGTCATACCATATCCTATCCAGCACACATAAAAATACCATAATGGAAAGCAAAAAAGGAACCCTATATATTTCTTAGTGACATATAAAAGCTTGTGTATTTCAAATAACAGAGTCCTCAAACTCAGAGTGAATATGTTCTAAATATGGTTCATGTACACAAATAACGCCTTTTTGCTTTTTAGTTTTCCAGGTCAAAATTAAAGATGAAAAATGAAATCTATTTAGTAACTACAGTATATGTTTTTCCATAAAAGCCAAGAAGTCACCTCAGAAGACCTTCAAAGCCTATGGTCTGGTGCTATTTAACCCCTTCCCGCCGGCACCTCCCGGCCCTTTAAGAGTTTTAGAAGCCGGGAGGCAGGACGGGGTTTAGGGAATGACGCGTCATCACGGCGGTCACGATCGGGAAAGGTCCCGATCAAAAGAGCAAACCGGGACCTTTCCATGAGTACCGAACAAACCTTTGAGATTGACATCATCTGGTCTTCCCAGACGATGATTGAGAACAATCCATGACATTGGCATGTCTCAGCTTTGCAAAGGGGGCAGTGCATGCTATAAATTCTGCAGGGTGCCCAAACTTTTGCAGACGCCATTTTTTGTTTTCTGTTATTTTGAAAGTGTAAATGATGGAAATAAAATCTAACTTTTGGTGACATATTATAAGAATGTCTAATCTGTAATTTGATGCCTTTTGGAGATTTTTCCATCTTTCCTTGGCTTCTTTATGCACATTAATACAAATTTTTAGCTGGGGTGCCCAAACGTTTGATCCGCACTGTATATATATCACTAAAAATATCTGCATCATATTTCAAGAAAAGAAAGTCTAATTTCAAGGAACACAGAACCAAAAGTGAAAACCCTTACCGCCATCAAATGTGTCATGCAGTCGTCTGTGGTTAAGTTTCCTGTCAGATTTCTAAAAAAATAAATTAAAAAAATTAAAAACAATGAGCAGTTAATATACCGTTCACGGACACAAATCATGGATGGTTTTTACACGCCTGGTATTGTAGCCTGGAAATAACAGGACCTATTTTTACAATGCAACATGTACAACACTGCTACACTAATCATCCCATTCAAGATCATGGACAGCTTACCAAAAGGCTTATCTGTTGCTTGACCTGCGGAGTGTGCAGCCCATTTGCTTTCTTCTTTTGGTTTGGAGAGTCCTGATGCTGCTTTTTACCATTATTCTTAAGATTTTGGTTCTAGCATTAAAAAAAAAAAAAAATGAAATTGAAAGCATTTTATTTGTTTTTGATAAGAGAAAAAAAAACCTCAACTCTATGTTATGAAGAAGAGGAGGGAATGCTGCTCCACCACAGATGAAGTATAGTGAGTGAGCATTAAAAAAAATAAAATAAAAACAAATGCAACCATTACATCTAAAAGACTAAGTCCCCAGTCACACTGGTCCGACTTTGAAATCATGCAGTTTCCAGTGAAGTAGCACAATTTCAAAGTTCGATGTCATTCCAACTCAAGGTGCAACTTGCAAGACACAGATGTCTATGCAAGTCGCACCTGATGTAGTACATGCACTACTTTCAAAATCGGTGCGACTCCGCTCAAGTCAGATATGACCGCTTTAATTGCAGACAATAGGGTGTGACTTGTCATGCCATCTGAAACTCGCATCACATGGCAAGTTGCACCCGGTATGACTGGGCACTAATAAGCTGAAATATATGAAATTTCAGACAGACTACATGCACATGGGTGCATTTGCCCATGCATCGTAAAGACACTGGGGTTGATTTACTAAAGGCAAATAGACCATGCACTTTTCAAGTTTTCCTTAGTGAAAATAAAGCTGGACTTCGTAAAGAATACCCAATCAGCTGTAAGGAAAATTAAAAAAAAAAAAAAAAAAAAGCATTTTCTTCGTGCACATGGAAATGAGCAGAGCTTTACCACATTTACTAAGCTCTGGGGAAAATGAGTACAACTGCACTTTCAAAGTCTATTTGCCTATTTCATCCCACTGTGTATTTTTGTTTTCCCAGATGTCCTAGAGCTGCGTACAGCTGCCCATAGACATAAATAGCCATCAGTTCTGAGTTTTAGGAACCATTTTGTATTAATGCCTAAGGAAGGTCCCAAAAACAGAGCCTAGCAGTTAAAAAATAAAAAAAACAAAACCCTGGAGGGGGGGGGGCAGTTAATACACTTACCTTACCCCTGCTTCCACCCAATGCATCTAGGCAAGAGGGACATCACTATCCTCCCCCCCCCCCCATCCCGAAATGACTAGGAATGCCAAATACCCCAAATCTCTCCAGAAGGCACTCCTGCACTGTGCTGGAGCATCATCACATGAGATCTGGGTTAAATACTATACCCAAGGATCTCATTAGAAACTCAGTTATGCAGTACGGAAGGAAGAAAGTAAGTATATTAATGTTTTGCCCCCCACAGAATTTTTCTCTCCATTTTAGTGCCACGTTTTAAAAAAGGGAAAGGGAGGCCTCAGTAAGCAAAAGACCATTGCTTGGAGTACAAGGTGCACTTTAAAGCAAAACTAAAGTTTTGCTTTTGTTTTTTTTTTCCCCAACACCACCACTTTGAAACTGCAAGCTAAAAATATTATATGCACTAATACTATAAAAAAAAATGTATTATATATAAAATGTGCAAATATAAATTAATAAATAGTATACATTTGGTGCTAATAAACTGAATCCAAATCCACAGGTGTAATGAAAGGAACATTTTTTTAAAGTCCCAAAGATAAAGTAGTGATGATTAGTGTACCACTCCAAATGACAGCTATAAGATGGGAATATCTCCCAGAAAGTTAAAGGGTTCTCCATCAGGTAACACCAAGCAGGAAGCCATTTTGGTGAATGCTCACATTAAAATGAAGAAAACACTCTTGTAAATAAACATTGGCTGGTAACATCAAAATGGCTTCCCGGAGACTTCTGGTTACGACGTCACAGCAAGATGCCCTCTACGCGTTTCAGCACACCTGACGTCCTCTGGGGCACGTGCCATTTTGATCTTACCGGCCGATGTTTATTTACAAGCGCATTCACTTCATTTTAATGTAAGCGTTCTTTTTTTAAAAAGGGGTAGTTTGAATGGTATACACTATGTGGAGCTCTTTGCTTTTATCTTTGATATGTTAACACTGGGGTGAATATATAATTGAGGAATTTCTCCCAAACGTCTTCTGTGATATATATGGTTTGTTTGACTTTCAGAAGGTCATACATTTCTGATAAGCCTTGCTTGGTGTTACCTGGTGGATGATCCTTCAACTTTATGGGAGATATTCCCATCTTATAGCTGTCATTTAGAGTGGTACACTACTCATCACTGCTTTATCTTTGGGACTTTAAAAAAATGTTTCTTTCATTGCACCTGTGGATTTGGATATTCAGTTTATTATTAGCACCAGATGTCTAGGCTAGCAATCAAACTAGATTATAAAATGATCTTTCTTCTCGCAATGAAAATTCACATGTAGAGTAACTAACTGACAATTTAGATTGTCAGTTCAGTAGGCAATGGTACTAATTTTGTAATTTAAAATGCTTTAGAAAGGTAAAGAAAATCACCTTCATCTTCAGAAGTTCTGACATTTCTGCTGGACTGAAATTACTATATGGCTTTTGTTGTACCTTGGGCTTTGTCCACTGTTCAACATGAGCAGGCTCAGAAAACTGAGGCATACAACGCATTTTGGGTCTATTAAAAAAAAAAAAAAAGTTTAAAATATAATTATATATACACTTTAGTACTATGTATACAAAATATATACAAACTAAAGGAAACATGATCACAAAATATAAACCCTACAGGCCAATTTGGTTCTCCAGTCACAGAACTTTTTTGTTCCTTATTTAAAAGTACACATGTGAACAGTTTATTGTACAAAACTTTTGTCGGAACATTCTTTCCTTACATGGACAAGGCAGATCTGGAGTATAACCTGAACACTCTGGAACCCTGAACAACAAGCTATAAAGCAAACAATCCAATTTGTATGCGAGCAAGCTGACAGGTTCACTATACAGAAGGAACTTTCTCTCTGCACCCTTGCTCCCTCTGTCTATGTAAGATCCCTGTGAATATTTTGGCTGTACAAATTCCAAATAAGCCTGAAGACTGGGTGCTGTGATGTAAGGAGGCAGGAGAGTATTAGGTGTTCCTCTTTACCTACACGTACTGGGTATTTTTCAGGCGCTCTGGCTGGATACAGTGTGGAAAACAGGTGCTGAGGTATTCACACCCGAATCACCTTCTCTGTCATACTAAAATTAATGTTATGCACTTTTAATATGACTATCTGACCAAATCCAGAAGTTTTCTGGATGGAACCACAGATATCCTTCTGGGCCCACCTCTTTAAATTACACACAGGTGGACTCTATTTACTAATTAGGTGACTTCTGAAGGCAATTAGTTCCTCTAGATTTTAGTCAAGGGTATCAGAGTAAAAGGCTGAATACAAATGCACGCCACATTTTTCAGATACTTATTTGTAAAAAATGTTCAAAATCATTTTCCTTTCACTTCACAATTATGTGCCACTTTGTGTTGGTCTATCACATAAAATCTCAATAAAATATCTAAGTTTTTGGTTGCAACATGGCAAAATTTCAAGGGGTATGAATACTTTTTTCAAGGCACTGTATACTGGAATTTACAGAGCTTTTAAGCAGCTCTGTCTTTCTGACAACCTATCACATTTCTTGAGGCGCTAAAATGCCAGGACAATAAAAAAACACCCCCCTCATGACCCCTTTTTGGAAAATAAACACTCCAAAGTATTGAAAGGCGTGCTGAGTCTTTGGAATCTCTTATTTTTTGCCACAGGATTTTGAAAAATGATTTTTTAACACAAAGATGTCACTTTATTGAGATATTTTTCACACACATCATGGGTATATGTAGCATTATGAGTTTTTGACACACTCCTAATGTTGCGCATACATTTTTTTTTTTCATTCAGCCTATGGTCCATCATTGTGGATGAAGAAATCTCTGCCAGAAAAAAAAAGTGAAAAAGTATATGCTGTAGCATATGAGCTACCTCCAGCTGACAACCCCAAGCTCCTAATGCTAGGCATGCACATTAACTGTTCAGGACAATGACCTTTCCAACCTTTGATTTTAGGGTCTCTTAAATGTGATAGACAGTTTCCTGTTCTTTAGAAATCCTTCTTGTGCAGAATTGTGTGGACCCCTATACTGTGCCGTGCTGTACCCTAGACTAATAGTCCACTACAGTGTGGTAGCGATGGAAGCAGTCCTTGATAACGCCAGGACAGGAGAGAGAAAAAAAAAAACCCCATGGTGTCACGCCTTATTACACGTTTACTACAGACACTTTTTTTGGGGGTGACGTTTGTGTTGGGATAGGTGGGAGGAAATCTGGAGAATGCCTCTCATGCAGCCAGCTAACTGCATCTAGATTTCATCTTTGGGTCACAGTGCCTGCTGGATACAAAAGGGATGAGACAACTGCTTCTTGAAATTTTAAGAACGATCCAGTTCTCCCAGTAGCTTTGTAAAAACAAAACACATTGTATAAAGCCAATTGAAATAAATATATAGACACGTTTTTGTACCAGTGTCTAGCTCTGCAGGTGGCTAAATACGGCTTCGTCATCTGGTCGTTGAATAATACACTTCCTATATATGGACTACAATCATGGATGCAGAGAGGCTTTTCAATTACACCAAACACCATGTAAATTTGGACTGTCGTGTCTGGGTGAATTGGAGACAAGGTGAATATATAAACATGTGTCCTTCCATTTTACTATGAGTAGTTCTTCAGTCCGCAAGCAAGCTCTCTCTCCATAAGTAGGGTGTTAATGAGCCGTTGGGTGAAAGACCTTGTGATTAGGTCGCATGGTGCCATAGCAGCCAATTTTTTTAATGAACAAATTTCTAAAAAGTAGCATGCTTTGACTACATACAAATGGTACCCCATATTGAACAAGGTTGACAAGTCCCACACTATCCTACCACTGCTCCCTATGTCATCTTAGCATCCAGGAGGCTCCACTTGACTGTCTTTTCCCTCATAAATTCTAAAGCTGTATGTATAGCATGTGGCCCTCTCACAGAGCTTATACATTTTTACCCCATATATGGCACATGTGCTGGGGAGATATTGCTTGATTGCAAGCCTGCCAGTAAAACGTACAAGGGACTTGTCTATGCACATATTTTGCTGGGGCATATACACATCGGCAAATTTCTGGTAAAGGTAATATGCGAGGGGCCAAATTTTGTGGAGCTGATCATAGTCAGGGTCACCCGAGGACAACGGATGGTATGGTCACTGAAATGCATAAAATGTATTACTGTCTCATAGCGCTTCCTGGCTATTGCAGCAGAGAACACGAGCGCATAATGAATCAGGCCTGTAGACCACTATGAACGCAATTCGTTCTTTTTTTTCAATGCCCATGTTAAGGGTTAGGCCCCATAAAAGTTCTATATTCAGAAACAGTGATAGGTTTCAACCAGAGTTGCCTGGGAAGGTATGAATTTCGGTTGGCAGCAATGAACTGTTGGGAGTCAACATTACGTTAGTTCACAATCAAAATCATAGAAGTCTTTTCAGCGAAAAACAGCTCAAAAATTGTCAAGGGGCGTTGTTAAGTTGGCGGTTTCCACCTGAACCCTTGGCTGGGCTGTGAATGGGGGGGGGGGGGGGGGGGGGGATAATGGGCGCTGCCGAATCTGGAAGCAGCCAACTAGAGTCTGCAAGCACCTGTAGAAGGCTACTATGGGCCTGTGTTCAAATTCTTGGCGGCTGCAGTTGCTGTACGCTACTAGTGCTAGCCACCTAACCAGATTGTATTGTACTGCACTGCACTGCTGGTGCTCGCCGCTTCACCATGTAATACTGAAGTACTGGTGTCTAAAAGGCCAGAATATACTATGCAATTAATGCTTGTTAGATCACCAAAAAGCAGTGCAATGCTCTGTTGCATTTCAGTGACATGGGGTCAGGTGCTCCTGATTTTAGCAGGGACCTCTTCACCATCATCCGAGCTAGCTGTCAGTATGCCACTGCTTTCTACAGGTTCACATTCTGAGCTTGATTCTGATAGTGAAGCCTACCCTTTGCTCTCATCTGTCATGCTCAGAATCCTGTAGACCTCTTCAATTGTGTACCTTTTTGTGGACATTTTGGACACTAAAATTAAAAAGTTGCTAACACTGCGTTTTTGTGAACACTATACTATTGGGGACACTAGTATAGTTCTAATGATGATCAAGACACTATACTAGTTAAGGAGGTGATCAACAGCTTATAGAGAGACTGGCAATCTGGCGCGAACGAACACTTTCTGGGAGGGACACTAATGTCACTAGTGACACTAATACAGTGATCAGTAATAATACTGTACACTGTCAGTGTACTAACGACACTAGCAAAGAGGTATCTGTTGAGGGCAAGCAAGGGGTTAGATGTGTCTAACAAGTGTATGAAAGTGTATATGTCCTGCTTGTAATCACAAAGGATCTGGCTGGCTTTGAATGAAATGAATGAATAAATGAAAAGAGCTGAGGGAGAAAGTACCTGGCCAGATCCAACCCGTTCCGTTTACAAAACACACAAAGGTCTGTGCTGTGATTGTCCACAGCTGATCAGCAGGTACACAGCCAAAATCATTGGCCAAAACCTGCTGACAGACTCATGCTGTGGCAAATTACAGCACAGATCAGCAAGGGGTGCATGCAGTGCACCCAAAAACCAGAAAGCCATGACGTACCCGTACGTTGCTTAGCCTGGAGCTGCTACCCGCCCACTGCAAATGTACTGTGAGCAAGCAGCGAGTGGTTAAAGCCTAACTTCATGTTTTAGTGAACCTTAAATAGTTTGTACCAAGCTGGTCCAAGAAAAAAAAAAAAAAAAAACACACAACTATATCCCTCATTACCTCATGCAACGGTTGTCAGTGCTATATGAACTGCATGAAGCCTCAGCTACATACAGTATGCAGGCTGTGTTCTGGCAGAGGGACAGGGCCAGCCCCTGGAAAACAAATCAAATCAAGATGAGCACTGCTCAACAATTGATAGGAAGCTTTGTATTTTCTACATTAATACAAGGATTCCTTTAATTAGCTGAGAAAGGGGATTACATCACAATACAAAGTTCCTCTGAAAGGCTGAGCAGCACTCAACTCGATTTTGTTCCAGGAAGTTCCCATCCCGCTACTGAACACAGCACTGCATATTGTATGTAGCTGGACAAGTTAGGCTTAAAGTGCTGTCAGGCAGAGAGAATTGCTCCCCTCTCCTGAGATTCTTGACAGGGGTTTCATGCTGTACCTGGCACAGATCCTTGATCTCTGCTCAGTGCCCCATCCATTTGAAGCTAACAAGTATTAGAAAAGAAGTAAAAGCAAAAATCTGACCCACAGGAATGTTAATATCATGGTCAGGAATCACCTAAACCCACTGAGAAAATAGTTTAACAGATGGCAGGCATATTTATTCCTAACTACAGAATATACTGTTTTAGTAGAATTTTGTAGAATTGAGTAAATAAAACACATGTGAACAAAATAAAAAAAAATGCTGTAATCTCTAATTACACAAGATATGAAGAGTCTGTGTAAGGTCAGCAATAGAAAAGAAAATCAGTACAGGTGTATTGACTTACTTTGATTTTTCCCCATTAGGTTTAGATGGTGTAGTTCCAGCTGAAGCTAATCCATTATCACTGTCAGAGGAGTCGCCCAGTCTTCGTTGAAGCCAATCTCTTAACGGTCTAAAAAAGAATTAGTGTAACTATAAACCTTTAGGGACCTTTCACTCCAACTGCATAGACAGTCCAAAATGCAGGCAATCCTATGCGCACAGTTCACAAAATTGCAGTGCAGTTCGGCACAGATAAGTACAGCATGCTGCATTTTTCCACATCGCAAATGTGCAAAAACGCATGCAAATGCACTGCAACACATCACAGCGCACATAGAAGCCAAAGGAAAGAAGAGGGAAGTGGCCTCACAGGTCAAATGCAGTTAAGAAAGGTGCGCGTCAACTGCATGTAAAAAGCTCGTCAACTGCAAGCATAAGGAAAAAACGTGCAGTTACATGTAGTTTCTGGTGTGAATGGGCCCAAAGTTAAAGTGACTACATAAAGTAAAGAAAGCAACCACAACTGATATAAACTAGTGATCAATACTTGCCTTATAAACGGTATGACCATAAAGAACTTGTTGGGAGCTAATCCTAATTTTGACTTGGGAGTCATATCATTCTTATGGCAAGGCAGTTTTTCAATTGGAAACCATTCAATGTTCTACAAGAAAAGAACAACGTTTTAGGGGAGGGTTTGCACACAGCAAGCACTTTCTATTTGGTAAGGATGTCCCACTCAGAAATCTATTTTTTTATTTTTATTTTGCTTATAAACAAAACAGCTGTGCAGCTCCTTCAGTCTCCTATGAAACCAGCTGCTTTCACTAGCTTTCTAAAACCAGACTGGGCTAGTGTCACTCATCTCGCATTATAAGCCAGTGGGTACCCACTTTTTTCAATATCCAAAAGATCCAGGTTGCTGGGATCAGCTTCTTGCTTAAAAACTGGTTTCCGGTGGAACACCCCAACCAATCAGCAGCAAGAGGAGCAAGTAATGGGGTATCTCACTTCCTATGAAAGCAGAAACCTAAACCATACCTACAGTAAAACTTCCCCTTTTTGAGAAAAACCTTTATGTGACAAAAGGTAATAACACTTTTTAAACATAAATGTATATACTACTGTGAGTGAAGAGCTCAAAAAAAACAGTTTGGCAGTGTTCCATTGTGCTCAACGAAAATAGTTTATATAAAAAAAATAAAATTGGATCATATGATTTTTATTGAGAACAACAAAGTTCCAGTTTCCAAATCTGTTATACATTATGAAAATATGTAGTGAAGCATAGAAAAACAGTAAATCAATCACAGTCAATTCCAATTTTCAACTACAAGATGATGACCTGAAAAGGCAATCCAAGTTATTGCAATCAAAGAACACAAAGAATGTTAGCTACATGTATCCACAAACAGATCAATACCAAATAGCATATGTCGCAGTGTCACATTAAAACTGGCCATACATTATACAAATTTTCTTATTCAATTTCCTTTAGATTTACCATCAACTATGAAGTACAAGGGCCTGTCTGATTGCATATATATTGAAAGGGTTTTAAACTTATATTATATGGTTTTGGTAAATCTAAAGTAAAACCGTAAAAGAAAGTTGTAAAATATATGGCCAGCCTAAGTATAACAAGAACTAGGTAAGAACTATCTTATCAGGTGGTTCAATACATATGAAAACAGAGGTAAGCTGGGGGAGGATGACCATATTTATTGAATTTTGTTAGGACATCCCCTGTGTTGATAAATATATTTTCTCTCTGTCTAGTATGTTATTTACCATGTCCTTCCATCATGTAAGCAATGGAGGAGCAAACATGAATGTTTAATTGAAGCTATGCTTTGTCTTTGGAAGGAAAAACAACAGGTTACCTAACCTGGTGCCCTCTCTAACTGCATATACCTTCCTTTTCCTCCACCACTACACACAGGTGGACTCTATTTACTAATTAGGTAACTTCTGAAGGCAATTGGTTCCACTAGATTTTAGTTAGGGCTGAATACAAATGCACACCACACTTTGCAGATATTTATTTATAAAAAAAATTTTGAAAACCATTTATCATTTTCCTTCCACTTCACAATTATTTGCCATTTTGTGTTGGTCTATCATATAAAATCCCAATAAAAATACATTTACATTTTTGGTTGTAACATGACAAAATGTGAAACATTTCAAGGGGTATGAATACTTTTTCAAGGCACTGTATGCTTCAAGTTGCTACATAAAGCTTACACACAGCTGAAAATTTTCTTCTGACTCCCATGTCTCTGTGCTGAGTGCATGAGCTGCCAATCAAGAACCAGCATTGTCATGTGGGAGGAAGATGAATAAGTCCCATGCTCCTCTTACACAGATGTAAAATGTATTTCTTCTAATTCCTAGCAGTGGTGGGAAGCCAAAGGAATACACTAAAGTGATACTGGATGAGGTCTTTATTCTCCAAAAATAAGACATACACCACTTAATGGGCCTGTAATCTATTTTACACAGATTACATATTTAATTTATTACTGTTTTTTCTGCCTCTTTTTAACATCTTTCATTAGCCACTAGAGGATGTCGGGCCCTCAGGCCACCCTAATGAAGTCTGTTTCTGATTGTTTGGTCAGAGACATGCACCTCAGTGGCCTGCTGGAGGTCATTTTGTAGGGCTTTGGCAGTGCTCATCCTGTTCCTCCTTGCACAAAGAAGCAGATACTGGTCCTGCTGAAGGGGCTTCTACTGCCCTGTCCAGCTCTCCTAGAGTAACTGCATGTATCCTGCAATCTCCTAAATGCTCTTGAGACTGTGCTGGGAAACACAGCAAACCTTCTGGCAATAGCCCGTATTGATGTGCCATCTTGGAAGAGTTGGACTGCCAGTGCAACCTCTGTAGGGTCCAGGTATCGCTTCATGCAACCAGTAGTGACACTGACCCTAGCCAAATGCAAAACTAGTGAGAAACAGTCAGAAAAGAGGAGTAGGGCAAAAAAAGGCAGCGGCCTCCACCTGTAAAACCATTCCTGTTTTGGAGGGGTCATCTCATTTTTGCCCATGTAGTGCACCTGTTGTTAATTTCATTAACACCAAACCAGCTGAAACTGATTAATAAACCCCTCTGCTACTTAACTGACCAGATTAATATACCAGGAGTTTAATTGACATGATGCTATACTCTGATTAAAAAGTGTTTCTTTAATTTTTTTGAGCAGTGTACATTAAAGGTTTAGAACATTGGTCACAGAATTTTTGAACAGATACATAAACATAATGTTCTCCCACCCTTATTTCCTAATTCCCGTGTTGACTTTCTGCACTTGAAATTTTATCTTTGAACCATGTATATTATGTCACTTACTATGTACACACAGCTAAATTTGGTCAGCAAGTCAATTTAATTGTACTAATAAAGTATCAAGCAACTTACTCGTATTTCTCTCCTTTTTTTTGGGTTAAATTTTGTGTCTTTTGGGACTCCAGGAATGATATATAAACGAGCCAACTGATCATTGATCTTCAGCTCAATATAATCAGTATTGCACATGCGATCTTTGATATCAAAGCCTGTCTCTTCAAGCACCTGAAACAGATCAGCATTTGATAAACCAACATTCTGTCAGATGGAAAATAAATTATATTCATTCTATTGCATCAATCTTACAAGAATGAAAATCTCAACTAAGTACATAAATCTTCTAATCTGAACACATTTTTTCTGCTACATTCCCAGAGTCTTTTTAGGGTACATCCTCAGATTACACAGCTGTTCTAAAGATCTAAAGGAAATAGTATGATCAAATTGTAACTTGTAATTGTAACAGTTTAATAGCTAAAGACTGGTTATTGTTTTCATACATTAACTACCAGATGTGCAATGGGTCAGTTCTTTTAAAAATTCTCTTCAGTTTGCACCAACATCTAAAGAGACCTGTCACCAATTATAAAATTGCAGATAAAAACATAAAAAAAAAAAATCAAATATTCTAAATGCTTACTTGCAGTGATTCTCCTTTCCATTTTTTTTTTCACCTGCAATGTGCCTATGAATGTGTTAGGAAATGGAGTCACTTCCTCGTTTTCCATGCCTAGGCAAATGAAGTAATCCATCCCAGGAGTCTTAAGGAAAGGTTTTTTCTTAGCTAAGGCAGATGGATTGCAGATTCCAGGAAGTAAATTCACCTGCCTTTACTTAAGATGGCAGCAACCAGAACTGCTAGAGGGGCGCTTTTCAAAGTGATTTGTCAGCAAAATAAAACATGGAAACATGGATGGATAGGAGAGTTTGCTTTGTATATTGAATTAATTAAATAGTGTTTTTGGTTTGTGCTGTCTGAATAACTGAACAGTGACTGCATCTGATAGGATGTAGTCACTATACAGCTGACAATCCTCCATTTGGCTCCTTCAATTTTTCAGTCAGCTTTTGTGGTGCCAGGTGGTGTTGACAGGGTTGCCCAACAGCTTAAATTTCTGCAGATTCAGCAGGAATCACCTAAAATTTGAGCCATGCAAGGCCATCTTTAGTCTCTTCTTAGATTTGTACCCAGTACAGACACCAGCATATCTTACAATACTATAATCAGTCCACTAGGAAAACAATATTGTTTCTAGACAGTTTTTTCTTAAAGGGCCCGCTGGGTCTTTTCCACACACATTTTTGTAAAACTAGAGGTGTTGGATATTGTTTATTTACAGATAAATAAATTACCTTATTTGGAGAAACAACTTGATAAGCAGTGGGTTGTATGTTGTAGTTTATATATCATTAGATGAGATGGCTGCATTAGCTTTCTTTTTACCTGACCTGGTGATTGTAGCAGTAACACATTTCCTGTCCTAAGATTGCTACGCTCATTTCTTTATTGTATCTATGCAGGAAGCTTTGGCTGACACCTTTGGCTGCACTTTTCATTTGGACTACACATATGTATGTCTTCCTCTATTTATCTCCATTAGATAAGGGAAGGGAATTAGTACTTTACAGAAGACAACTTGAAAAGCAGATTGTTTTTGTACTTTCAGTTCAGCAGGAAGTAACAAGAACACTGCGTTTATGGTAAGATCAACAAGTATTTTATAAAAATGTTCTTACCCTTAAATTGGAAACTAAAGCAGCCACCACATCTAAGGACTGGTAAGATGCAATATATCACCTTTCTGGGGGGGTTAGTTATTTTAAAGGCACCATGAGCCTGCAAATGTCTTGCTCCATCATAATGAAGTATTTTGCTAAAAGAGCAATAATAACTGGATAATTCCAGTATCAAATTGAGTTATGGAATTCTTTTCTTTTTGCATGGATTAATGTTTTACACTGTAAACGTGAACCTGAATTATTCAGGTGAGCTCATGCAATGTACAGTGAAGGAAAAGTATTTGGTCCCCTGCTGATTTTGAATGTTTGCCCACTCACAAAGAAATGATCAGTCTAAAAATCGAATAGTACGTGTAACACAGAGACAAAATAGCAACAAAAAATGCAAAAGAAATGCATGTCTAAAAAATTATGCACTGCTTTGCATGTTCATGAGGGAAATAAGTATTTCTCTTCACAAAACATGACTTAGTACTTGGTGGCAAATCCCTTGTTGGAAATAACAGAGCTCAGACTTGTCTTGTAGTTGGCCACCAGGATTGCACACATCTCAGGAAGGATTTTGGCCCACTTCTCTTGGCAGATCCTCTCCAAGTCATTAAGGTTTGGTGGCTGACGTTTGGCAACTCAAACTTTCAGCTTCCTCCACAGATATTCAATCGGATTAAGGTCTGGAGACTGGCTAGGCCACTCCAGGACCTTAATGTACTTCTTCTTGAGCCACTCCTTTGTTGCCTTGGCCATGTGTTTTGGGTCATCGTCATGTTGGAACACCCATTCACAACCCATTTTCAATGCCCTGGCTGAGGGAAGAAGGTTCTCACAGAAGATTTGACAGTACATTGCCCCGTCCATCGTCCCTTTGATGCGGTGCAGTTGTCCTGTCCCCTTAGCAGAAAAATACCCCCAAAGCAGAGTGTTTCCACCACGTTTGACAGTTAAGATGGTGTTCTTGGGGTCATAGGCAGCATTCCTCCTCCTCCAAACACGGCAAGTTGAGTTGATGCCAAAGAGCTCGATTTTGGTCTCATCTGACCACAACCAGTCCAGATTCAAAGGAGAATCATTCAGATGTTCAGTGGCAAACTTCAGATGGGTCTGGACATGTGCTTTCTTGAGCAGAGGGACCTTGCAGGCACTGCAGGATTTCAATCCTTGTCGGTGTATTGTTACCAATTGTTTTCTTGGTGACTGTGGTCCCAGCTGCCTGGAGATCATTGACAAGATCCTCACATGTAGTCCTGGGATGATTCTTCACTGTTCTCATGATCATTGACACTCCACGAGGTGAGATCCTGCATGGTGCACCATACCTAGGGAGACTGACAATTGTTTTGTGTTTCTTCCATTTGCAAATGATTGCACCAACTGTTGTCACCATCTCACCAAGCTGCTTGGTGATAGCTTGGTAGCCCAGTCCAGCCTTGTGTAGGTCTACAATCTTGTCTCTGACATCCTTGGACAGCTCTTTGGTCTTTGCCATGGTGGAGAGTTTAGAATCTGATTGTTTGATTGCTCCTGTGGACAGGTGTCTTTTATACAGGTAACAAAATGAGATTAGCATCACTCACTTTAAGAGCATGCTTCTAATCTAAGCTTGTTACCTGTATGAAAGACAACTGGTAGCCAGAAATCCTGCTGAATGATAGGGGATCAAATACTCATTTCCCTCATGAACATGCAAATCAGTGCATAATTTGTTAGACATGCATTTCTTTTGAAATTTTTTGTTGCTATTCTGTCTCTCAGTGTTACAATACACATACCATTCGATTTTTAGACTGATCATTTCTTTGTGAGTGGGCAAACATTCAAAATCAGCAGGTTATCAAATACTTCTTTCCTTCACTGTATTTATGTAGAACATTTATGGATGAGATAAACATACCTCTCTTGCAGCACAGTCATGGGGAGCCTCCTCTTTATTCACTTTCCCTTTAGGAAAGCCCCAGCCAGACTTTGCTAAATAACCCTGGACAAGCAGAACCTACAAAACCATAAATGGTCATTAGTGAAAAAATATGGCTTAAAACCAACTTTCTTAAGTTTGTGTTCATAATTCATTTTGAACCAAAGAATGCTCCTTTGTTACATGCTTGGGGAGATGTCATTCAGTACTTAATAAATCCCTTGCATCTTTCCCAAAATGATGCTTAACACACTACAGAGAAACACTTTATTTTAATATTCATTCTTCTAGTGCACTAAACAGACAAGATCACTTGGCCATGCAGGGCAAAGTGGCAGAGTCTCTGAAAAGGACCCCTGACCCCTTATACTCACCACTGCTGCTTTCTTCTTTCTTAGAATAAGCTGTTTCGATGATGGAGGGAGAGATGACATCATCCAACTGGTCATGCAACACTGCTTGGGCCTACCAATTTGCTTTTAGACCCAAACACTGTCACAGGAAAGGAGGTCACATGCTTCTCCACACCTGGAAGTGTTAGGTATTGTGACCGTATTAGGCTGGCAGCAGGGGAGAAAGAAGCAGTGAGTGAGTGTAAAGCTGCATGCGCACCTGAGCATCTAGTTTTTGAGCAGTTTTTTGTGAGTTTTGTCATGCATTTGTATGCACATTTTAAAAAGCGTTTTTGAGCTTTGGTGTACTTTTAATAGCCAATAGAGAAATATCATCTGTTTCATCATTTTTCAGCTTTTTGTTAGGGTAGGGGTTAGAGTTAGGGTTTAGAGTTATGGGTAGGGATTATGTTTAGGTGTTTTTAGGGTTAGAATTAGGGGTTAAGTTTAAGGTTAGGGGATAAAGTTAGGTGTTAGGGTCTGGATTAGGGGTTAAGATTTTATTTATTATAGTTAGTCTTGCTGAAAAAAGACAAAGTCCATCCAGTTAAAAAAAAAAAAAAAATTATAATCCTATACCCACAGTTGATCCAGAGGAAGGCAAAAAAAAAACCCAGCAAAGCATGATCCAATTTGCTCCTGCAGGGGAAAAAAATCAGATATTCCTTGCATCAACTCTACCTATAAAGGTTAGTAACCAGATATATTCTCTGTATCCAAGAAAGACTCCAGGCCTGTTTTAAAGCAATCCACTGAGCTGGCCAAAACCAACTCTTGAGGGAGTCTATTCCACATTTTCACAGCTCTTACTGTGAAGAAACCTTTCCATGTTTGTAGATTAAATTTCTTTTCCTCCAGACGTAAAAAGTGTCCCCTTGTCCTCTGTGATGACCGCAGGGTGAATAATTATACACCGAGTTCACTATATGAACCACTGATGTATTTATACATGTTGATCATATCCCCCTTAATCTCCTCTTTTCAAGAGAGAATAATAAATTCAGTTCCTCTAATCTTTCCTCATAGCTGATCTCCTCCATGCCTCGTATCAATTTGGGCGCCCTTCTCTGCATTGGTGTATTTAGGTTTTGTGCTGCCCTAGGCAACACAAAAATTGTCAATCGTCCAGCCCCACGGACACCAACCAACACCAACCCCCAACCCCAACCCCCTCGCTCGTGAAAGTGACCAATAACACCCCTGCCTTCCACTACACCCCCCCCCCCCTTTGGCCATAGAGAGAAAGACACTCATCTTCATCACATACACCATTAAGCAGCCCGCAGCCTCTCTTAGATCCCTTTTGGTTCCCATGGAGCACGTGTCCCTTCTTCCATCCCTTCTTCTGGGGTGAGGTGCTGCCCACCTGAAAAATGCCGCCCTAGGCAAGTGCCTTGTTTGCCTTTAGGTAAATACACTCCTGCTTCTCCAGTTCCCCAATGTTCTTTTTGTGAATTGGTGCCCAAAACTGAACTGCATATTCCAGATGAGGTCTTACTAATGATATCTCTCTATCTCTGGAGTCTATATCTCTTTTAAAACAAGAGAGGATTTTGCTCGCTTTAGAAACCACAGCTTGGCATTGCATGCCATTATTAAACTTGTGATCTACCAGAACTCCCAGATCCTTCTCCACCATTGATTCCCCCAGTTGTACTCCCCCTAGTATGTATGATGCATGCATATGCTTAGCCCCCAAGTGCATAACCTTACATTTATCAACATTAAACCTTATTTGCCACATACAGTTGCAAGAAAAAGTATGTGAACCCCTTGGGATTACGTGGAGTTTTGCATGAATTGGGCATAAAATGTGCTCTGAACGTCATCTAAGTCACAACAATAGAAGAACACAGTCTGCTGAACATAATACTACACAAACATTAGATGTTGCCATGGTTTAATTGTACATAACATGTAAACATTCACAGTGCAGGGAGGAAAAAGTATGTGAGGCCCTAGCTTAATGACTTCTCCCAGAGCTAATTGGAGCCAGGAGTGAGCCAACCTTGACTCCAATCAGTGTGATGATATTGGATGTGTTGCTGACAGCTGTCCTGCCCTTAAAAAACACACACCTGTTTTGGGTTTACTGGTTTCAAAAAGCACTGTTTGATATGAACCATACCTTGCAGAAAAGAGCTCTCAGAAGACCTACGATCAAGAATTGTTGACTTGCATTAAGCTGGAAAGGGTTACAAAAGTATCTCCAAAAGCCTTGATGTTCATATGTCCATGGTAAGACAGACTGTCTACAAATGGAGAAAGTTTAGCACTGTGCTGCTGCTCTCCCTAGGTGTGGTCGTCCTGTAAAAATGACTGCAAGAACACAGCGCAGAATGCTGCACGAGGTAAAGAAGAATCCCAGAGTGTCAGCTAAAGACCTACAGAAATCTCTGGCACATGGTAACATTTTTGTTGACACATCTACAATAAGGAAAACATTAAACAAGAATGGAGTACATGGGAGGACACCACAGAGGAAGCCATTGCTGTCCAAAAAGAATATTGCAGCACGTTTGAAGTTTGCAAAAGAGCACCTGGATGTTCCACAGCACTACTGGCAAAATATAAAGTGGACAGATGAAACCAAGATCGAGTTGTTTGGGAAGAAACACACAACACTATGTGTGGAGAAAAAAAAAAGGCACAGCACACAAACATCAAAACCTCATCCCCACTGTAAAACATGGCGGAGGGAGCATCATGGTTTGGGGCTGCTTTGCTGCCTCAGGGCCTGGACGGATTGTTGTCATTGATGGGAAAATGAATTCCAGAGTTTATCAAGACATTTTGCAGGAAAACGTATGACCATCTGTCCGCCAACTGAAGCTCCGCAGAGGATGGGTGATGCAACAGGACAATGACCCAAAGCATACAAGTAATTCAACAAAACAATGGCTGCAACAGCACAGAATACGCCTTCTGGTGTGGCCCAGTCAGAGTCCTGACCTCAACCCGATTGAACTGCTGTGGCATGACCTTAAGAGAGCGATTCACACCAGACATCCCAAGAATATTGCTACACTGAAACAGTTTTGTGAAGAGGAGTGGTCCAAAATTACTCCAGATCGTTGTGCAGGTCTGATCTGCAACTACAGGAAATGTTTGCTTGAGGTTATTGCGGCCAAAGGAGGATCAACCAGTTATTAAGTCCAAAGGTTCACACTTTTTCCTCCCTGCACTGTGAATGTTTACATGTTATGTGCAATTAAACCATGGCAACATCTAATGTTTGTGTAGTATTATGTTCAGCAGACTGTGTTCTTCTATTGTTGTGACTTAGATGATGTTCAGAGCACATTTTATGCCCAATGCATGCAAAACTCCACGTAATCCCAAGGGGTTCACATACTTTTTCTTGCAACTGTAGTTGCCCAATTAAACAGTGCATGGAGGTCGGCTTGTAAAATGGAGTCATGCTGTAAGGACGTTATTCCACTGCACAGTTCGGTGTCATCGGCAAAGACTGAAATGGGATTTATAATCCCAGACCCTATATCGTTTATAAATATATTAAAAAGTAAGGGTCCCAACACTGAACCTTGGGGTACACCACTAACAACCCTTTCAAAATATGAATCATTACCCACTACTCTCTGAATACAATCTTTTAGCCAGTTTTCTATCCTTTTGCATACAGATTACACATTAGCCGTGTGTGGGGAACGGTTTCAAACGCTCTTGCAAAATCCAAGTGTACCACGTCCACCGCCACCCCTCTGTCCAAGGTTTTGCTCATCTCATAAAAAGAAATCAGATTTGACAACTTCTGTCTTTTATGAATCCATGCTGTCTGTTGCTTAGAACTCATCTACATGGTCTTTTATTAAACTCTCCAGTATCTTCCCAACTAACAGGTCTAGAATTACTTGGTAAAGATTTTGACCCCTTTTTCAAAATAGCCATCACATTGGCCTTACGCCAATCCATTGGTACTATGCCAGTCATTAAAGAGTCCTTAAAAATTAGAAACAACGGCTTTGAAATGACAGAGCTCAATTCTTTAAGGACCCATGGGTGTATGCCATCCGATCCAGGTACTTTATTCACCTTTATCCTGTCTAAATATTTCTGGATCATATCAATGGTGAGCCAATGTGGATCATCTGGAGCTGTGTCAATACCATGCCCATTATGGACAAGAGTTCCACCATGCTGCTTTGTATACACAGAGCTGAAGAACGTATTTAAGAAATTTGCCTTCTTCTTGTCCCCAGTCACCCACTCTAGATTATTTTGTAAAGGGCCTACATGCTCGGACTTGACCTTTTTACTATTAATATATTTGAATAATTTTTTGGGGTTTGTCCTGCTATCTTTTGCAATATTATTATTGTCTTATTATTGTTAGGGTGTTTATTATTATGAATATATTTTTGTTAGGGTGTTTATTATTATATTAATAATGTATTTTTTTATTTATTTTAGGGTATTAAGGTTAGGGGTTAATTATTACATATTTATTATTCATGATTATTTTTATTTGTGTATTCATTTTCTTTATTTAACATTTATTAATTATTTTTTATTAAACATTATTCATTTGAGCAGAAAAACGCTCAAAAACACGAGACAAAACACACAAAAACGCGCAAATCGCACATTTCCATTCACTTCTATGGAATTAAAAATGCTCAAAAACATGCAAATTTGCCCAATTTGAGCAACAAACACAGACTTGTATGGGAATGAAAAACCCATCTGAAGCAACATCAATATAGGCTCTAAGGGGTCGGGGGAAAGGAAGGGGAGGCGGCCTTTGCATAGACACGGTCATTCTGCCCTGCATGGGCAAGTGTCGTTTTAACAACTTCAGCTCTTTTATTCCAGCTTAGTGGTTCACCAATAATGTTGTATTTACTTTAACACTGAAGTGGTAGTATTTATTTTGTAAATGACGCTCTCTTTAGGCAGTTTTGCTTTCCAATCATATTTTTTCTATGCACTTAAAATGGTAAGGAAAAAATGCTCTCTTTCCACTTTGACCAGAGGCCATTTTAAAGCACCTAGAGTTAAAGTGGTTTCAATCCTCTGGAGGGCAAGTGGTTAAAGTAAACTAAAACTAAATGCCATAAATGTTTAGAGTAAGCCTGTCACAAACCTGGGCAACTCAAATTACACATAAGATGAGAAAAGTAGAGGTTACTGCCTTTGAGAACTACATGTCAATATGAGCAACAGATCTAAAGAAAGCTGAATTTATGTAAATCTTTTCCTCTAACAGCTGTGCTTGGGTCCTGCCCACTCCTCCTACAATTGGCCATTGATGCCACATATGGGAGGTAATGAGGCCAAATGTAATTTTTGCTGAATATTTCAAGATACGTAGAAGTTCAGTTACAGGTATTTCTGGGTCTACTGCATTTTTGACAGAAGACAATCTCTGCGTACGCACTTTTAGGTTTAAAGACGTTTCATCAATTACGTTCAACAGAAAAGAAGAATTTATAATAGCATCCTGGCTGATAAATAAATCACTTACATTTTCAAGGGTCTCATCAAGAATAATGGCACCATAGGTAGGCACTCCCATTTTGTACTCCTTCCATTCATCTAAGACCCTCTGAACATCTTCACCGTTTGGAAGTAAAAATGGGCAATGCTGAAATAGTGCACTTGTTGTAAAGGAATAAAAATGTTTTTCAGGTAAAGAGATAGTCCCAAAGGGTTTCAGAACCACTCCAGGCAGAAGGTATACATAAGATTTGGGATCACAAGAAATCAATATTAGATAACTATTATGACACATTCCTATACCTGTTGGATAGTGTACAGGATGCTTCCAGGTACATTTATTTTGTATCTTGAGTACAGATGCTTTTTGGGAAGCTACAGGGACTTCTGAATTCTTTTGCATCTCAGAAAAGCAATTCTGATGCAAATAAGTGCACATTCACACCAGCTGCACATTTAAATCAGTGTGCGGCTGGTGTACTGAAGTGGTACACTGTACAACACAATGCACCTCGTCTTTTTTTTCTTTGCTTTTAACTTGATTGACAGTACCTATCCAGGTCTCTGCATAGGCCTGTGGTGTCATCCAATGTTCTTTAGAGAAAATGCAGCACGTCTGCATTTTTCTGCACTGACACACACAAGGCACACTGAAAACAACTGTAGTCTAGGTGCCCTAGAGGCGACCTCCGTTAATCCAGTGTGGAAAAAGGTAGATCACTGCAGTATGTGTGAACAAGCACTAAATAAGTAATAATTACAATGGTTATAGGACAGCTCAATCCGTCAAACTTCAAATTGCTATGGTTGCAAATGTTATTTTATCCCCACACTGTTAGACACTAGTCTGGTTTTCAGATGCTATTGAATGCATTTCACAAATCCAACATTAAACAAACTCCAACCAAAACGTTTTTCTTGCTTGAAACAGAGTGAAGAAGGCTTATGACAATGTTTATATTGCTTCCTGTGTCCCAATTGGTGAGATCCAGCCTCCTTATTTGTCACAGTGACCATTGTACCTGGACAGAAAGTGACAAGTGCCAAAGCTGGAACTTCCATTCATGTGACAGGACTTTTAGCTAGCTTAATGTTGTATTTCTGCGCCAGGACTTTAAAGCTTCAAAAAAAAAAAAAAAAATTATGAACTACATTCTACTAAAAAGAGACCCTGTAACCTTTCATGTCATCTGTGTAAAGTCCACCCCCATCTACCTTGTACTAACCTCTCCAGTGCTCTCCCTTGTTGTTCTCTTTACCCCCTTTGCTATTTTGACTCTGAACACCAGCACTGACTGTTGTTTATAACATCCTCCACCTGCAAATCAGTCTGCTTAGGAGTACTTTTGAGTCTATTTAACATTGTTATTTCACCAAGCCCTGAGAATGGACTCCTCACCTCTCCTGGGAGATCCCCATCTTTGTGGTGAGCAGCGGAATACAGGACATTTTGGCTCAAGTAATAACTTTGTCCACCTCTTGTCCAGTATGGCTCTACACTACTACCTCCTTTACCATGACTGCCACTGCAAACACCTAGTGCTTGTGGGAGCAAGTGACCTTGTCCTATGATGCATGATGGGGAGGGTGACACCATTTGTACCAGACAACATGGGGTATTCTAGTGGCAGCTGGAAAAGCAGGAGTTGTGAGGAAGCAATAGGGAGGAGCTTATGACATTGTCAGCGAACAGGCTGCACATTTTGTCCTGAACAGGCAAGTCTCTTTGAGGCTAGCTTAAATAACCATAAACTTTAAGCTGCATGTGCATGGGCATTTTGCTATACTGCAAATCCCAGTGGCAGGAAAATACAGATTCCTGCTGGTGGGATTGACAGTTGCATGTGAATATCAGTGGCAGCCAAGCCTATACACTGCAATGAGAGGCTCTCAGCAACCACAGCTATCGTGCCTGTGCGCACAGCCAGCAATTGCTTTGTGTGCCTCCAGCCGTGATCGCCACAAGTGAACAGGGATCTGGGTTCACCCCACTGCTATCTGCACACAGCGGTCAATCTCAGCAGCAGGAATCAGTAGATTTCTGCCAATGGGATTTGCAGCATGGCAAAATGCCTGCGTGAATGCAACATTAAATAACAAGTACTCACATCCACAATACGCTGCAAGTGGTCATTTCTAAATTATGTGAAAGGATGTCTCTGTATTCCTTTTCTGAGAAAAGCTGTCAAAGAATAAAAGGATATCTGCTTTAGCAAAGTCTCTTATCCCACACTGAGGCAAGCCTGGAAAATTTTGCATGCAGAAGTCCAAGTAAAACCAATGGGCCAGTTCGATTTGAAAGCACACTCTGATTGCATTGTCTCTCTCTTCACTGGGAATGTGTAAAATAAATCGGCTGTGGATAAAAAAAAAAAAAAACATTATATGAATAGAGCTGAAAATCGAGATAAAATAGACAACCAAATAACACAGGAATAATGCAATATCAAACTATGCATGTCTTATCTGACAGATGCCTTACTTGGGCCAGGTAGCACACATCACAGAGTTTTTTCAGTATTAACATTTTAAAGGAGTTCTGACAATAAAACAACCATTTCCTTCACAAAATGTTTACAGACCAGGTTTCCGAAGAGGAATTATTTTTTTAATTTTTTTACTGGTATTTATATAGTACCAACAGTTTTACACAGCACTTTATATACTGTATACATTCACATAGGCCCTTCTCCACAAGAAGTTCTCATGCATATTGTATATGCTCGCATACTAGAGCCAATTTAGTTAGGAGCCGATTACCTAACAGCATGTCTTTAGAATATGGGAAGTAACTGGAGTACTCAAAGGAAACCCACGCAAGCACAGGGAGAACATGCGAATTCCATGCAGATAGTATCTTGACTGGGATTCCAACTAAGGACTCCAGTGCAGCAAGGCAGATATGATAACTAACAAGGCACTGTGCTGCTACAACTATTCAGCTTATAAGAAACAAACTGGTACATAAACTGTGAAAAGAACCACTGCTCCAGTCTGTCTTCAGGGGCCCAATTATGCCAGTGAAATCCTACACAGCCAAAAGAAGGTGGAATCCGACTGTTAATGGAAGCCCATACACTAAAGAAACCTCTGCCAGGTGGTCCTGTTCTATTTAATCTTTTTTAAGTTTCTTTTTTAATCTTACATGTACGCTGCCTTAAAGTGGTTGTAAAGGCTGAAGGTGTTTATGCATGAAGGTAAAAAAACTTCTGTGTACAGCAGGTCCCCCAGCCCTGATACTTGCCTGAGCAATGTGAATGACAGCCTCGGCTGCCCCAGGTTTCTGCCTCCTCATTGGCTGAGACAGCAAGCAGAAACCATTGGCTCTCTCTGCTGTCAATTACAGCTAGTCAGCCAATGAGGGGGGGGGGGGGGGAGCAAAACGCTGCTCTGTGTGTGTATGGACACACAAAGCCGCGGGTGTCCCCATAGCAAGCGGCTTGCTGCGTGGGCACCCGACAGACAGGAAAGGCCAGGAGAGCCTGTGGGAGACCCAAGAGAGAGGCGGATCCAGGCTGCTCTGTGCAAAACCATTGCACAGAGCAGGTAAGTATAGACATGTTTGGTATTTTACACAAAAAAAAAAAAAATGAACTGTTAGAATCACTTTAAACGCTGCCTTACCTACTATTGATCTCTATACAATGCCTCACATACTACTGACCCCTGTACACTGCAATACATACTAGAGACCTTTATAAACTCTCCTACATCCTACTGACCTCTGTACACTGCAAAACATGCTACTGACCTTTATCACTTTAAGGTGGGCTATTTATATTTTTACAGTGACATCTGTTTTATTATATTTTTCTGTTTTCTTCATGACATCCTTACTTTTTATCAGGCTAGTTAATTCCTTTTAGGCATTATGTGCACTAGAGTTTTTTTTTTTTTTTTTTTTAGCTCAAAAATGCTGCATAAAACACACAATAGAGTTGTTTTTAGTAGCGTTTAGTAGCATTCAGGAGTGCTAGCGTTTTATTAGCGTTTTTTACAGAACATGTAGGGAAAAAAAAAAAAAAAAACGAGAAAAAAGCTTTTAAGAGCGTTTTAATAGCTTTTTTTCTGCTGAAAAAAACATTCCCAAAAACTCAACAAAAGCAATTTTTTTCTGCTCCTAAATGCTAAAGCTTGAAAAACGCTAATAGCCTTGACACATAGGATAACACTGTTTAACATCTAGAAGCAGAAAAAAAATGGTGATAACAGCTTCCAAGAGCTTAAAAAATGCTAGTGTGTTGTTCTCTAGAACAAGAAGAAACACAGCAATCTGGTGTGAACATGACACATAGAAAACTATTGTTTTCTGTGAGTCATTGTAGAAACCTGTGTTTATCCATGAGGAAAACATAGGTGCCCGGATTATGCATGTTTTCCCTGTGCCTGTGTGGGTTTTCTGCATGTGAGTTAGGGACTGTGTGTGTAAAGCACTACTTAAATTGACAGCGCTATATAAGTAGCTGGAATAAAATAAATACAATAACTGCACAGAGTGACTTAAAAATAAATAAAAAAAGACGCTGAACCCTGGTGATCTTTAATGTTTTCCATGTCCTTTAGTAAGATATCTGCCACTCAAAGGAACAGTGTATTTGCCTTTAGTAAATTTCTCACATTGTATCAAACATCTGATCTCCCCTTTCCGAAAAGCATGCTGGAAATCAGAGCCAAACACATACATAAATTTCAAAGTAGAAAAACAGATAACTAAAAAAATTGTGTTTTTTTTTTTAACAATTTGAGTTAAAACATATCTATAGTCAAAATGTAAAATCATGTATTAACATGTTCCCACCCAGTCTATAGCAGATTGGCGGCCGAGCGGGATATTCCTCCTTCTGAGTGGGCGTCATATGATGTCCTCTCAAAATGTGGCGCTAATGCGGCCATGGGGCCTTGCAGCTGTACAATCTGTCACTGGCTGTGTTCTCTGCCAGTGTCATGTGATTGCTGTGACCAATCACAGCAAATTACATGACAATTGTAAACAATCGATGGCTTCCTTTCATACCATCTATGGTATACAATTGTGTTGGGTTTTTCATTTTTTGCTATATAAATGAAGAAATACTGAAAAGTTTGAAAAAAAAATTTTTTTTGCTTAGTTTTTGATATACAATTTTGCAAAAAATAACAGTTTATATTATTTAGTCTTTGTGAAAGCTATAGAGTCTACAAACTATGGGATATATATTTGGAAAATGATCAATTGAGATTCTAAAATGCCGGACGCTGGTATGGGGTATGACAGTGATCAGGACGCTGGTATGGCAATCGGTCGCCCCCAGAGGCGCCCAACTACTGCTTCCATCTCACAGGCAGGGGTCAAGATTGTCAGATTTAAACACAATGCTAGTTGCTGCATCCACCAAAAGTGTGTTTAAAACCCCCCGCTGTCAGCAAAAGGGTTAAACTAAATAGATTGTTTTGCAAAGGTGAAGGTTTACAATCACTTTAATCCATTTTTAATATTCAAAGAAAATTCATCCATCCATGTCTCAATGCTTTATTTTGCTGAGAAAAACACTCCCCTATCACTTCTGGCCATGGCCATTTTGAGTAAGGGCAGATGATTCATGTAGCATTTACCCACTTGAGCTCTGAAAGGCTTTACCCCCTTCATGACCAGGCCATTTATTGCTATTTCAACTGGTAATTGTACGGTCATGCAACGCTGTACCCAAATTAAATTTATATAATTGTTTCACACAAATATAGCTTTCTTTTGGTGGTATTTGGTCACCACTGAGTTTTTATTATACAAATGAAAAAAGATCGATAATTTTGAAACAAAAAAATATTTTTTACTGCTATAAGACATATCAAACAAACAAATTTAAAGAAAAATCTAATTTCTTCATTTTTTTCAGGCCAAAATGGAGTCTGCTACATGTCTTAGGTTAGAAAAAAATCCCAATACGTGTAAGCGTTAAGGGTTCCCAGACTGGTGTACACATTTCTAAAGGGTGCCTTGACTGAAAAAATGGTGAAAAAACACTGGTTTAATCATTCCCCTTAAAGTTAGATGCATCCTGAACATGACACCCATCTACTGTGCTGCGCTGTACATGGCGTATGACTTTCTTTTCTGTTCCATCCCAGGGTTCCCCAGACTTTTCATAATCCTAGCTGTGCTCACATTTTGTCACGCTGTTTTGACTTTTTCATTGTAAGGCCAGGCAGATTAGTTGCTATGGATATTGTTAAGCTGGCCATAGACAGATCGAAATTTGATAGGTTCAGCAGCAACTGGCCGAATTTTGATCCATCTATACTGGCTGTAGTAAAGTTGATCTATCAATTGACTTCAGTACAATCAGTCTGTCAGTTTTTTTTTTTTTCATTCGATCACTGCTGACGGCTATAGCCACTAGCAGTGATCATTGTATTCTGATGGCTGGGAAACTTCCCACGGTCAGAATACAATAGCTCCGTGTGAGGGATCCCCCAGTCAACACTGACAGTGTTGATGGAGGAATCAAGCAATTTTCTTTCCTGTGGCTGAAGGAAAGAAAACTGCATAATGTATAGCCTGCCTTAAAGCAGTAGTAAACTGCATTTTAAAAAAAAACCTTTACCCCTGCAAGGCAATGGCATAATGTGCTAGTATGCATCCCATACTGGCACATTATGGAGGACTTGCCTTAAAATGAAGCCCTCCAGCGGCATGCTTTCACCGCTGCAGAGGCTTTCATCTTCACCTGGTCTTCCTTCCGGGTTCATGAACTCCGCCCATCTGATTGGCCGAGCCACAATGATGTCACTCCCGCGCATGCACACAAGAGTCCCGGGCCATGGAACAGTGCTCTGAAGGAACGGCACAGCTATGCACATGCGCCAGCTGTCAAATGAAGCGAATACCTCCTAAACAGTGCACGTTTAGGAGGTATATTTATTTTACCTACAGGTAAGCTTTATTATAAACTTACCTGTAGGTAAAAATAAAAATCCGGAGTTTACTACCACTTCAATGCTTACATGTCATTTAAAGTGACACTGAAGTCCTGGAGGGGTTGTTTTTTTTTTTTGTTTTTTTGTTTTTTTAAATAATCAACATGTCATACTTACCTAGTCTGTGCAGTTCTTCAGCACAGAGCAGCGCTGATCCTCCTCTTCTCCCCCACCAGCACTCCTGGCCCCTCCCTCCTGTCAGGTGCCCCCACAGCAAGCAGCTTGCCATGGGGGCACCCAAGCAGGTGTACTCCCAAGCCTGCATGTCCATTCACACACACAGCCGCGGCTTGGCCCCACCCCCTCCCTCTCCTGATTGACTCACTGACTGCCTCAGCCAATCAGGAGTGAGAGTCCCCGGAGAACCGAGGCTCTCGTGGACATCGCTGGATTGGGATGGGGCTCAGGTAAGTGTTTGGGGGAGGTGATACACTCAGGTTTAGAATGCATGAAGGTAAAAAAAAACCTTGAGCCTTTAGAACGACCTTAAATTCTCCTTCTAATAGAGTCTCTGTCATATTTTATGTTACCCATAAAAAATGCACTCATCAAATTTTCCATGTTTTGTCAGTAAAAAATTGGTGGTGGGTTGGCAACCCAAGGAGACAGAGGGGGAAGGTTGGGTCATGTGACCTTGTTTCCTGTTAGATCCTAAATATTGGTATAACATGAAACACATAAATGTGGACCATGCCTTTTATGTTCCTCAGTGTGTTGAACATGCGCTCTCTTCAACAGCTCCAGGCGCCACTGGTATCTGACACTTCCAGGAATGTCGGACAGTCCTACAACCCACCACCACCCCCCCGCACAGGCCACTGTGATTCATCCCGCTGACCCCTACATCACTTCTGTGTCCTGTAATAACAGAGGTGGTCAGGAGAGACCACAGCACTCAGCAGAGGGGTGCATTACCGGACACACCCATAAGTGCAGAGGCGTAGGGTTGCCACCTCATCCCTTTGAACCCGAATAAAGCACAAAGTGAGTTCAATTCCCCCCTTAATCAGCCACAGAACACGTGTAATATGTGTTCGGTTTCAAAGGGATGAGGTGGCAAACCTAGCAGAGGGTCCTGGAGCAGTTCAATTGATCCTAGATTCAGCAGCCTATCAGAAATGAAGGAGCACGTTTATACCATAGGCTGGCAGGGTGCGCTTCCATTACATATCAGACCACTTTGTCAGAAGGACTACAACTGCCAGCAGTCAGACCATGCTGAGCCCTGTAGTGCCCCACAGCAGAGCCGTCCAGCCCCAGTCACCTGCACAGGTCGTCCAGGACCCCCTCGGGAACCTCCACACGCTTGTTCTCCATGTTGAACACAGGCACATCCCGGAGACAGAGCGACCCCGGAGCCTGAGAGCCGTGGACACCGCACTAAGGAGGAGGAGCCGGAGGAAGAAGCGAAACAAAACAATAACACGAAGCCTCCTCCAACATCCCTCTCCCTGCGTCACTTCCGCCGCCTGCCCTCTACAGGACGCTATCACTCGGCGGGATCCCCCTCCACCTATCAGAACGAGCCAAGTTCAACCGGATGACGAGTGGCAAATTCTGCACCCAATCCTAGCGCAGCATTCAGGAAACCGCCTGGCTGCCCTTGGCAACAAGGAAGAAGATCATTGGGAAGTCCTAGATGCCAATCTCAAGTGATCTGTCCTGGTGATGGTGTGTCCTGTGATCTAGCTTGTCATACGGCATCATCAGGAGGGATGTGACTGCAGATTTGTCTGTGTGGTGACAGGTCATGTCATCATAAGAAATCTGTCAGAGTGTGTGTATGGTGCTAGAAAAGCTCTGATCACCTGAAATCAGTGGCAGGGGACACTGCTTATGTGAAACATGCCATGTTTATATAGATTTCTGAAGTTGGAAGTCTTTGGTGAGAGGCATGGCTAGACTATAGCTAGACAATTCCAGAATGTTGATGGAAAACAAAATTGCTGGATTGTCACATGAAGTCCTTACTATAAAGTTGTAGTCATAATGGTAGGCCATTGGTTTCCATTTCAACAGATCCCGAGATACCTGAAATTCTTACACCAGCAATGCTCAGACCGTTTGTGCAGTATTAGCACCACCTGGTGAGTTTACATTGAAGGAACTCTACAAGTGCCAGTGGAAGCAGGTTCAGAACTTTGCTGATACCTTCTGGAAACGAGTGTCATCCCTCCAAACAAGACGAACGAGGACAAACCATATGTTTAAAGCGGAGTTCCACTCTGTAAAAATATAAAAGTCAGCAGCTACAAAAACTGTAGCTGCTGACTTTTAAAAAAACAACCACTCACCTGTAAATGTTGTGATAGTGTGAGCTTGTGAGCTATTATGGTGGTATATAAGTATTTGTGAATAATTAGCTCCTATAAATATAATGGTGCATCAACACAAAAACGCATACTCATAACGTTACGTGAAAATAGATAAATGAAATATTAAATGTGTCGCGCTCCTCAATATTGTTTAGTGATATATAGTAATAAATAAAAATGAATAAATAAATCTACTAAATACTAGTATTAAATACTTTTAAATGAATATTATAAAATGAATCTAAATAATTTTAAATAAATATTAATCCATAGTGATGAGATTTTACAAACCTTCTAGTGCTATATTTGATTATCTATATTAATGAAAATAAATAGTGTAAAAAAACAAATAAATTCAAATTATATAGACACAATATTATTCAAATCAGGTAAACTGAAAAAACCCCCATGCATAGTGGTATTTATGTGCAAAGCTTATATGTGCAAAAATGCAAAAAAATCTTTTTCCCAAAACAGTTTATATAAAAGGGAAATATATATATATGTATGATAAAAAACAATGTGCTAATTCATATGAGAAATAATAATAAATAAAATAATAAATAAATAATAAATATTGGTAAAACAATCCAAATAATGTAGTGTGCTCACTCTAACTTGTGCAGCCTGCAATAGTGATTATAACTAGATACTGGTTAACCTTAACTCAGGTGACATATAATTGTCCCAACAATGGAAGATGTATTACTGTTGAGGTAGATTGTAATATTGCTTTCCTTCCACTAGATGGCCTTTTCTTCTAAGTTATGAGGGCTGGATGGATGGGAATAGATATCTCCCCTAGTCCTGTTGGGAGTCTATCTCCTGTCTATATCCCCCTGAGGAAGCCACGTGACCCTGTGGCGTAACGCGTAGGGGAGGCTCTGACGTCACGACGCCACCAACAGCGGAACGGCGAGTACTGTCATTGTGCGAGGGCACACATTTCAAAAAACGCTCTGTATTACCCTGTGGAATGTAAGTTTGCATTTGTCTGGAGACACATTAAAACACTCTATAAAGGATAAAGCACTATGTGGGAATCTTTCTTTTACATGGCCTAAATTGGAGGAGCAAAAAGGGAAGAAGAGGAAACAGGGGATAGACTCCAACAGGACGAGGGGAGATATCTATTCCCATCCATCCAGCCCTCATAACTTAGAAGAAAAGGCCATCTAGTGGAAGGAAAGCAATATTACAATCTACCTCAACAGCAATACATCTTCCATTGTCGGGAAAATTATATGTCACCTGAGTTAAGGTTAACCAGTATCTAGTTATAATCACTATTGCAGGCTGCACAAGTGAGAGTGAGCACACTACATTATTTGGATTGTTTTACCAATATTTATTATTTATTTATTATTTTCTTTATTATTATTTCTCATATGAATTAGCACATTGTTTTTTATCATACATATATATATATTTCCCTTTTATATCACTGTTTTGGGAAAAAGATTTTTTTGCATTTTTGCACATATAAGCTTTGCACATAAATACCACTATGCATGGGGGTTTTTTCAGTTTACCTGATTTGAATAATATTGTGTCTATATAATTTGAATTTATTTGTTTTTTTACACTATTTATTTTCATTAATATAGATAATCAAATATAGCACTAGAAGGTTTGTAAAATCTCATCACTATGGATTAATATTTATTTAAAATTATTTAGATTCATTTTATAATATTCATTTAAAAGTATTTAGATTTATTTATTCATTTTTATTTATTACTATATATCACTAAACAATATTGAGGAGCGCGACACATTTAATATTTCATTTAACCACTCACCTGTCCCATGATCTCGCTGTGCCCCCGCCGCAGCCCGTTTCACCGGCCGTCCTGTATTCCAAGAGGCCGGTGTCTTCAGTGTGGGCACCCGGCTGTGACAGCTTGCGGCTTCACCGCCAGGTGCCCACTGCACATGCGCGAATAGCGCTGCACTTCCTGAATGGCCCCGTCATCTTCTGAGATCTGTCACGTGTCCCACAAGACTTCGGGGAGGGTAGGATGACAACTTCCGTTTCCGACTGCCTAGGCCATCGCAGCGGAAGTGGGAGAGGGTACCTGTTAAATTCGGGTACCCGTTCCTCCACAAAGGTGCCAATCCTTAATGGGGACCAATCTTTAATGTGGAACTTCCCCTTTTGGGTGGAACTCCGCTTTAAGTAGGAGACCTTGTTTTGTTGAAAGACCCTTAAGCAAAGTGCGGTGTCTGCCCAACTGCTCTTATTATGAAAGCCATTCGTAGTGATGGTAAAGCTTGCAAAGTAGAGGAAAAAATCATCAATCTGGGGACTACTAACGAATACCCCCAACCTGTCTCAGATTTTGTAGTCCTTTTCCAGAATTAAGAGCTACCTAGTTGAATGTTATAGTAATTCAAAAATATATAGTAGTGGTATGTATACCAGGTGGGTAGTGTCCTGTATTTTCATCATTGTGTTGAGTAGGGTGCCATCTATTGGGCATTCTCTGCAAGTGCAGTCTATTCTTTTCTGAACCTAAAGGTGAACTCTTAAGTCCTCATGCACACTTGACAATTTTACAGCTGCTGTTTTTGGCTTTTGACATTTTGTTCTACAGCTAGTAAACTCTCCAGCATGTTATCCTATGTGTCCATGCACACATAGACTGTAATCAATGTTTTATGGCTGAAAAAAAACAGGACTAGTGGGTTTTTAGAGGAGTTTTTTTAGCTGTAAAAACGCTCTAAAGCTGTAAAATACAGCAAACTGGTGTGTTCGGACCTTTTCTTTTACAAAAAAAAATTTCTTTTTGGTAAAAAAAAGCCACTAAAAACATAAACGTGGGAAAACGCAGCTAATCACGGCAAAATGCTAATGAAAAAACGCTAAAAGAGCTGAAAACTCATGTTTTTAACGTGACTTTACATAGCTAACGTAACCAGCGTCAAAACGTCCAGTGTGCATGAGGGCTAAATCAGTCCAGAGCCATTTTAGCTTCCAGAAGAACACACCAGTGAAGGCTTTGTTTGGCTCCTTTGTTACACATATGCCTGTAAGTTCATCCATTGTGTTTGATAGGCCCCATGTACACTGCAGCTGATAAACTCACGTTTAGTGTTCAGCGTTTTTTTCAGCAGCCCCTGAACTCTCCCTAATGTTTTCCTATGTGTCCATGTACACATCTTCATTTACAGGCATTTGAGTTTACATTCGTTTTTTTTTTTATGCAGAAAACTTGCGTTCAGCAGTCGATTTTATCAACGTTTCAAACGCAAAACTCTTGTAAACACGGCAAACCGCGTTTATAAGCGTTTGCGTTTGAAATTTTTTTTTAACTCTTCCAGTTCCCAATGCTGTCCAGAGCCTTTTTTCATCATGAAAATGCATGCTAAGCATTTTCAAGGTGCTCAGATGGACAAGACACAGGATGTTCCTACCAAGCTTGTCACACATTGTAATGACTGATTCACACCTCAGACCTCTCCCACCCTTGGAAACAAAAGATATGTTAATGACCATTCACACCTCAAATTCCTCATGCAGACCCCCTGCCAGGTGGTCTTAACGACTCTCTCCACCAGACACCTTTCCCACCCTTGGAAACAAAAGATATGTTAATCATCATTCACACCTCAAATTCCTCAGGAAGACCCCCTGCCAGGTGGTCTTAATGACTCACTCCACCAGACACCTTCCCACCCTTGGAAACAAAAGAAATGTTAATGAGCAACTCCCACCTAATTATCCCAACACCTACTGCTGTCTCTGCTTATACTCTCTGTATTTCTCTGAAACAGTCTGCAATAGGTAATAATTTACCACTTTTCAGTGCATTATGGGAATTTGGGAGGTTCTCCTGTGCTTATCTTTAAAAAATGCTTCTAAACGCAAACGCGCATAAACGCGTTATGCAAACGTGCATAAACCTTATGCAAACGCAGCTAAACAGACATTTTTAACCTACGTTTTCCAGCAGTCAGTTTCCATTGTTCAGAAGTGCCCCATGTACATGGATCCTTAAAGTCATTTACATA